AGAATTCCCCAGCCAGCCATGGGGAATTCTGGGAGTTGAAGTCCGCTCATCTTAAAGTGGCCAAGTTTGGACAACACTGGCCTAAAGGAATAATTAAGAAGGAACTCTCATGATTATGCCTTCCAGGCGCACTGCTCCAACATCTCTAGCTGTACTCTGAGAAGGAGGTCCTGGACGGTAGAAAACCAGTGCCTTTGTGAATTCCTACTTCAGTTAATGTTGCACTACAACTCTGTGGGCACTTTCTCAAAAGTTTGGTTCCTTTGTGAAAGAAATTTGAAATGTCTTCCAAATTTCTCTCACTGGTGTTTTTGGAGTTTGTTCTTATTGGATGGGGCGGGGGAGGTTCAGGGATTGAAACCTCCCTGGCTGGCCACATTTCCTATTCTGCGGAAGCTCCATCTGAGGAGCTGAAATGGAAGTGTGAGACTTCAGGGAGCCACCCTTCCTTGGAGAGACTCTAAAGTGAAAGGCAGAACATCTCTAACTAGAGGTCCCCTGTAACTAGATAAATGCAAGAGTTGCTGCTCTGATCACGAGCATTTCACTGAGATTCTCTTCTCATTCCAAAGAAGTTTGGAAAGTAAATTCTTTTTCATCAAACTGAATGAGAACTGATAGATAAAAATGCAGGAGAATTTTTCTGCATGGCCCCAGTTTCAACTCGAGGCACACCTTTTCTATAAAAATCAATTCTTTAAAAGGTTATCTTTCACCTCAGAGCCCAATTACCACATCCTACAGCAATTGATATCATTTCCCCCAGTGGTCACTTAATCTAAATCCCAGCTTCACTCTGAGTTTATAGGACTAACTCTCCAAACACAGGAAAAGCGAGCAGGACCTGTTTCAGTTTAACACTTGCCAACCTTGACTGTGTGCTGAGATCTGACAGATCTGTCTTGAGAAAAATCTGGTGGAAGTCAGGGATGGGAAAGGACTAAATAATGTGTGATTAAGACATTTTTTTAATAGTTTTCTGGAACATGGGCAATAAAACTGTGCCCTCTTCTTTTTCTTTTTCTTTTAAGTTGTATGGAAATCCAGACTTCAGATACAAAAAATTTTTTAAAACTGTATGGCCCCTGAAGGTCTTGGATGTAGCCCCAGAGCCATTCCAAAAATGTGATGAAGAGAAAAAAGTGTTTGCATTTAACTGATCTGATATAACGTTTATTACATTTATATTTCAGTTAAATCAAAGTTAGCTTTCATTTTCCCCTGTCTTTTTCTGGCCCAACCATTGCTTTTTGGAGTATAGCTCACAGTGTGTATGTCAAAAGCAAAGAGCAGCACAATGTGTCTCAAAGGCTGGAGAAGGGTAACAACAATATAAATGTGTAGGACAACCATTTGAATATCTATACAAAGCCAGAGGAGAATTCATGCTGTCTGAAATCTAACTCAGCCAGTTTAGTTTTTATCCAACCCAAGTTCAGCTGTATTTTAAAAGTTTGACAGGACTTCTAGTGTAAGGTCAACTTTGGCTTCATGCAAGAGTTAGGGGAAGGGATAAAGGTAGGGTTGTCAGTCAAATTCTCTTTCTCAAAGTTTTTGTAGTTCTGTGAAAAAGCAACAAAGGATGGGAAAAGGAGTTTCCCTTAAGCCTAACATTATTTGGAATCAAGTTTCAGTACATGAACTGCCTGCCCCCATCTGCAAAGGAAGAGGGAAATTTATTTCTTCACTCTTCTAACCATTCAGCTAGGAATGATGAGCAGAGACTTTTAACAGTCCTCAGGACTGTTGACCCAGTCACTGGTTTATTAAATCCAAGTGCCTCCTGGCTTATCTTGGACAATTTTCATCAAGTATCCAATCTTCCATTTTTTAAGGAAAAGTTGCTAAGAAGGTGGTCAGGCTGTGGTTTCAGAAAGCCCTGGAAGAGATTGATTTTCCAGAATATCTAAAATTATCAGGCTGGAGCACTGTATGGAGACAGCATTGATCATGCTTGTTGATGACCCCCATAGAGCCAGGACAGAGAGGGGGCAATCATTTTGGCTTTCCTTGATCTCTCAGTGGCTCTTGATTCCATCAATCATGGTATCTTTCTGGACTATCTACAGGGACTTAGAAGTGGGTGGCATGGTGCTGCAGTGGTTCTCCTTTCTCCATGGTTGGCTCTAGTCAATACTGATGGGGGAAAGATTTAGCTCTGACATGTGAGGTGCTGCAGGACTTGACACACTCTCATCCCTCCTGTTTAACATCTATAGTAAGACATTGGGTGAAGTCATTTATCAGTTCTGAGCCAGAACTATGGCTCAGAAGTATGAAATCTACATTTCAATTTATTATGGCCAAAAGGCCCATGAAATCTACATGGGACTGCCCTTGAAGACCACTTAAAAACTGCAGCCAGTTCAGAATATAGCATAAGCAATAATGGGCACGCCACGTAACATGCTTCATGAACTGCACTAGTTGCCAGCAGGCTTCCAGGTGCAGTTCAAAGTGCTGCCTATTACTATAAAGCCCTTCAGAGTATAGGTCCTGCTTATTTGAGGGACCATCTGTCTCCTGTGGTCTCTGCCCATCCTGTGTGATCAGACAGAGTTGGCATGCTTCAGGTCTCATCAATTAAACAGTATCACCTGATGAGGCCCAGGAAGCAGGCTTTCTCTATGCAGCACCTACCCTCTGAAACAGCATCCCCCTAGAGACTGAACAGCCCCTTCTCAAATTTCAAATGAGCCTTGAAAACCTGGTTCTTCACCCAGGCCCTGGACTATTGAGTGTGGCAGGGAATATGTGGGATTGAAGGTTATGATTGTATTGCCTTATCAGACGGTCTATTGTTCTTTTCTTCTGGATAATGCTAGATAGATAGATGATAGAGATGGATGAATGGATGGATGGATGGATGGATGGATGGATGGATGGATGGATAATCAGGCCATTCAATGGTGTAGTCAAAGCAAGCTCCATGGGTCCCAAAGAAAGAAGCTTGGGGGCCACTTTCAGCCACGGGGTATAAGTTGACTGTTTTAGTTGAAAGCAGCATCAAATCTTAGCCAATGAAAGAGATCTTTTCTAGGGCCCACACGTCATGATGTGAGTTTTCTTGACTGCTGCCAGTGGGGCAGGGGGAGAGGTAAGAAAGCACCGGATGCAATGATGCAACTTGACAGGTAAATAAGCCTACACACAACGGGGTGGGGAAGTGTGTAAAGGGAGGAGGAAACTCAATATGATGCTGCTGGGGGCAGGATCCTTGTGTTTCCTGCAAGGCTTCAGTTCAGCCTCAGTAGAGGATGTTATCAGATTCTACACTGAACCTCAAGCCATCTGCTTCAGAGAGAGAGAAACACACATGTGTGCCAAGGCGCAGAAGATCAATGCTGCATGTTGCAGGTGTTGCTTTTGTTTGCAAAAGCAATTGCCCACTTGAGCAGCCCGCTCTCTCCAGCCACAGCTCTTGCCACTTAGAACAGCCCCAGATTTCAGAAGCAGGAAAAAAAAATGCAAGGTAGCAATGAAACTGTTTGGACTCCACTCCTGGGCAATTGCCTCTCCTGTTGAATAGTTTTCTATTTAAATAATCATAAAAGGTTGTTTGAACAAAGCAAAAAGCACAGCGCTTCAGTCTGCAGGCAGTA